AATTTCATGCTATCCATGACCGATGACATCCGAGGCAGGGTTGAACAAGATGAAAGCACGTTCCTTCTTTCGTAGGTTTTCACGCGCCCACAGAGTGGGGTTCTAAATCGCAACAACGCGCTTCTCCTGAGCAGAGTCAGGTCACCTGAATAAATCCACGACCTCCAATAATTATTGTGAAAGGGAAACGTGTTTCACGTCCCTGGAGACCTTTTTTCTGTGACCCCCGCGAGGAGGCGACTGCGGCGGTCATGTGAGAGCCCAGGATCCCTGGCGGAGCCAGCCTCTGGCTCTCCGCGTGAGGGCCGAGGAGCCCGACCATTACGGTGGTCATGTGGGAGCCCCGGAGCCATGGCGGAGCCTTCCTCTGTCTCTTCGCGTGAGGGCCGAAGGGCTTGACCATTACGCCTCACCCCCTCCCCCCCGCCCCGCTGACACGACTTGATCCTTGGTGACCTCGGCCGCTAAAATTTGCATGCACGACGGTGATAGTGGCTTACTCATTGGTTTCCCTGACGCATGAATGGTCTACACTTTCAACGCCTTTAGGGACTGAGCCTGACGTAACACAAATATTGAACAGCTTTCACATCATCATTGACAAGTGCCAGGTATTCTGGCTTGCGACATAATTGTGAATTAGCTTTAAAAAGTTCCTGAGAGTAAATCTGAAACTACTTTGACCTTGCTTGGCCGCTAATACTTTAGTCTGATGAACTTCATTGCATAGGCGATTCACACATTGAGAGTTACTGGACAAGACCAACAGCCGCCACACCGAGCTGAAAACGCCCCGTCAAGCGTCGACATGGCACGTCTTGGCATCGTGGACATTTGAAAACGAGGTCATGGGCCAGCATTACATATGTATACCCTGAATAGTTCGAGACATATCATTCCATTCGCCGGAGTGGATTATCGATGATTTACCTGATGATTTACCACCGCTCCGCCCCCCCCCCTCCCCCTGACAGAGTGCAGCGTGGTTTATTTACTATCCAGTGTGCTTTGGAGATAGATCGCTAATGTTAGATGACATTCCTTTATAGAGGTTAACAACAGAAAATATTGTAGAATGTGTGGAGCAGTTTTGATAGCTCATGCAGGGAGATACACACGAGCCACAGTTAACAAAAGGAGATAGAGCGGAGTGGACAAGACATTAGCCCAAATCAGAACAGTTTTTCGGGCGCCGGGAAACTGTTTCACCATAAAATAAATATGATGCATATATATATATATATATATATATATATATATATATATATATATATATATATATATATGTATATGTATGTATGTATGTACATATACATCGCCATGAATAATGCATTGATCTTCTTGGCACATTGACATGCCCGCAAACTTTGTACCTGCTCAAAAGATATTCCCAAATCAAAAAAACAAAACAGAAAACAGGAAGACAAATGCACAATTTTCAACAGACCCAGACGTGCCGACGTCTGACTCGTGGTTTGAATCGGCCAGCCTGTGTAACACTCATATGAAATAATACTGAGCTTCTTGGAGCATGGGGATCTCTGCAGAATTTTCGAATGCTTCCAAATGCTCTAGAACACGTAAAGGAACAAGTTTGCTAAGCAAATATATTTTTAACTATACTCGACGTCATAACCCATCGAATGTGTTTTCGCAGGGCACATTTTGTTGCACGATAAATAACTTGCTTCATAGCTTCCAGAAATGACTGCAGCTAAACTCTTAGACGAAAAATCTTTGTTAGTAAGTGAAACGACCTGTGGAAAAGATAGTTTGTTTAGTATGACCACATTTTTGCCTACAGCCAAATCTAAATGCCGAAAAATGTCAGTGCGGTGTGGTCGAATTCAAAGAAATGGAGAACGTCTATCTATTGTAATGAAAACATCAGACATAAGCTTTAATCGCCGCTGTGCTTCGTGATTGAGTTCACAAAAAATCGTACGCCTGCTTATCTCCGCTCCTGTATAGAACTAGCACCATAATGATGACAGCAGATAGGTGTTAATGGCCAAGGACCCGTCGTTTACCGGTAATACTCGGCATTGGCTGCAAAAGCTAGTCACCGGAACGGTATTACTACAACGTAACGGGTGCTCGTGCGTCCGCTCGGTTACGTTTGCTCCCCTCCCCTCCCCCTGTCGCCAGCGTGCCCTCGGCTCCCCCCCCCTGCCCGTCGCCCCCGGCTCCCCAGTCCACCCCCCAATCAATGCGCGCGCGGCGCCCGCCTCGTGCTATCGCTTG